TGTTTACATAGTTACCTTCATGGTCCCTTAGCCATCATCATGCTTATCAACCATAACACTTATCGTTGTTCTTGTTCCTCTATTGCTTATCCTATATTGCTCAAGTTCCTTACATATATACCTGTCATTACTCAGGTTCCTTGTATCCTGTTCCAAGCATAATTTGCTTTTTCTATGCACAACTTAACATACACGTTAGATAGATAATCATCATTAGTTTATAATCATCAAAACCTAATTGCTCAACAGTGAGCTATGAGTGAGTGGCTCGTGCTGGAGAAGCAGGGCGCGTGCAAGCTAGCTCTCTTAGTCACGAGCTTTGCACGTGCTCTCCTACTCCAACATGAGTTTCTCACTTCTCTTCTTCTTTTGCATGGATGTCGTTCTCAACTTAATTAATCATGAGGTTTGCATTATAATTTTATGGATCTTAGGTAATTTTAATTTGTTTTACTATTCTACATTCTACATGTATTGTGTCATTGTTCATAACTTTATATATAGATACTTATTATCGTAGTCCTTTGTTGATATTTAATTTGTCCATATAATTAACAACTTTCAAATGTTTTTGGTACGTATGAAGTATTTTATGGAGTACTTATGTTCTTCCTTTGGTTAGTACTTATGTTAATTATTGTACTCGTTTAGACGCACAAAAAAAAAAAAGCAAATTAATGTTGTTCTTTTTTAAAAAATGAGTTAATTTATTTCTCTCATTTCCCTTAACTTGCATAAAATAGTCAAATTTATCAAGTGCATGCAAGTCATGGGTAAAACTCTGTAAAAGAGCAAAACTTTTTTTTTTTTTAATTTTTAAATTTATTTATTAGTGCAAGTGAGCAAAACCAAACATGCTCCTTCGTACAATCGAGCAAACTGATTTGAACAATTATACTCTTGATAGATAAGAAAATGTGTAACCAATTATAATTAACTTTAGTACCATAGGCTTATATATTTCCTACGTCATGACTCAAGAACTACATGCATTATTACGACTTTATTTGATAGAAGTAGAGAACTAGAAAAATATGAAAATTCTATTGTATAACGTTGTACCCCCTCTATCTCTTATTTACATGTCGATTTCTCTTTATTATATGAGTAATAAATATTAAAAATAGACATGTAGACATATAGATAAGGGACGAAGGAAGTAAATCGTAATTTATAATGATCAATTTATAATGCTATGATACGGTAGGCAAAAACCCGGCCTATACAAGATGAACACAACTCTACTGTGAAATTGGAGCTTATCATTACTAATGAAATACAAATTAAAATCAAACATTCATATTCTATACAACTTAACTATTGTAGTACTGTAGAACGTACAAGTGAAATAAAAAAGAGTTCCATGAAACTTTACTCAAAATATTTGTTTTTTTAAAAAAAATTTATTTAGTTTTATGAGAACACGTACGGATCTGTAAATAAAGTCATAGGCCTCAGCTTGGTTAAAAATTTATTTACTTTCCTATTCTGTCCAATGGAATTAATTTTGAAGTCTTACACCTTTACTCAAACACACAAAATAAAGTCAATTCTTTCAATAATTAGGAAAAATAAAAAGATGCATAGTTGCATGCATTAGACTCGAGTTTAGATGGGAGTAAAAAAGAAATACCAAAAACAGGAGGAACAGAGGAAAAGGGTTAAAATATCAGAAAAAACATGAAATTAGAAAATTGGATGGGAATGATGAGAGTGTCAGTGAACTTATCTTGCAGAACAGATCAACTGCCAGATAACTTCGTCAAGTATGGGGGAAAACCTCATTTTTAGACACCCAAAATATTAGTCACATTTTACAATTTTTATTCTCATACAATAACACAAAATTACTTATATGCCCTCAATTTTTTTGGCTTTATTATCTGTGATACCCAAAATACCCTTAAAATTGTATTTGTATTTGTGCCATAATGAATGAATTGTCTCCCTTGATTTTTGGTGTTCTGAATATTTGTATAACGTTGCTTTCTCTCTCTTAATTTCTCTCTCTTCTTTTCTCTCTCTTCATTTCTTTGGTTTTCTGGGTTCTTCCATTGAAGAACGACTCATTTCTTCATTCTCTCTCTTCAAATTGAGCAAGTTGGGGTTCAAAAGCGTCGGAAAAATTGTTGATTTTTGTTGTACGTGTTCGAACGAATCAAAGCCCTCAACTAATTTTGTGAATCCGCCCTTTTTAAAGGTGATAGGTATCGTTTTTTTTTTCGATTTCCTGTATATTTAATTTTTGCAATTTTCTGTTCTGAGTAATTTGATTATATGGGGTATTTCTTGATTCTTTATGATGTTTTACTGAAATAATTACATTTTTCGGATTATTTTTGCCGATGTTTACTTCTTTGCCGTGGATCTTGATTTCGTTCAATGCTATGGAATATGATTTGGATTTAAAATATCTTCCCCAAAATCATGATTATATTGTGAATATTTTTGTTTGCGATTTTATATATTTGCCCTAGAGTAAGGTTATCTGTTCAATTTTGTGAATTAGGGTTTCACTGTTCACATGATTTAGGGTTTCACTGTTCACATGATTTAGGGGTCACTGTTCAGTTGCATGTATATTTATCTATTCAATTGCATGTATACTTCACTATTCAATATATGAGAGCTATGACTTATGAAACAATGTTAGAGGTTTAGTTATGTATTGTTGACATTGTTATAACATGAGTCCTTTTGTTTGAATGCTTCATGGTTGAAACAGGAACAAAGGACCCATTGTTATGCATCTTGAGTGATTGTATACTCATGTTGGTTTGATGTGTGGCTGTCTTTAGTACTTGTGTACTCATATAATGATATTGGTTTGATGTGTGGCTGTCTTGAGTGATTGTATACTCATATAATGATATTGGTTTGATGTGTGCCTGTCTTGAGTGATTGTACACTCATTTAAACATGTTGGGTCAATGTATACTCATTTACACTTGCTTTTTTGATGGTTGGCTGTCTTAATTGGTTACATGTTGATTAAGTCATGATTGAGTGAGTCCCCTGAGTCTGTGACCATGAGTCAGTCCCCTGGTTTAAAAGAATCACACTCACAGCTATGAAATGTATAGAAAGCAGAAGGCAAGCAGAGAAGAGGTTGATAAACCATCTAATTCTCCAGCCAAACCACCAAAATCTCCAGCAAAACTCCCATCTATCTCTAATGTGAAAGCTCCTGCCAACTCTCCTATCAAACCCCGTGTTCCCATTCCTTTGGACCAACAAACTAGTTCACTTGCTGACAGGATATTTGCTGATTCCAGATCACACTACACATCTGAGTCCTACCAATGCACTGACCGTGACTGTGAATTAGGCAGTCGCTGTGATGGGGAGCACAGTTACAGCAATGAGACTTTGAGAATTAGATTTGGAATTGTCCCAACAGGAATGCCTCCTGCAGACTCTGACTATTGGCCTCATAATTGGTACAGAAGGCAATGCAGGAAGAAGGGTTTGCCAAGACCTTATGACAATGTTGACTCAGACTTCTCAGACTCCAATGATGATGATGGTGGTTGCTCCCCTTCTAAGTTGCCTATGTCCCAGAGAAAGGATTCTGATAATGAATCTCACAGCTAAGTCTCAGAATGCCTTGGTGTTATTTGTTGTGGTTTCTTTTGTTTTCTAAGATTGGGGATAATTGAATGTGATGGTTGGTTGTATTTAGAACATGGGGATTATCTTGTTGGTTTTGTTTTGGTTTTTTTGTTGTTGTTGATTATGATGATCTTTGGTAGTCTTGTTGATATGCTCTTTTGGGTTGGGTTTTAATTTTGTTGACCTATTATCCTGATATGTTGGTTGGATATGCCTTGTTGGTTGCCTATGTTGGTTGGATATGCCTTGTTTGGATATGCCTTGTTGGTTGACTAAAATTGTACTTGTATACTCATGTTGGTTTGATGTGTGGTTGTTTTGAGTACTTGTATACTCATGTTGGTTTGATGTGTGGCTGTTTTGAGTACTTGTATACTCATGTTGGTCATGTTGGTTTGATGTGTTGCTGTCTTGAGTATATGCCTAGGATGAGGTCTGTGATGATATTTTGTTTGTGCATTTAGAAGGCATATAGGATCTTGTTCTTGTCTTTTAGACCACAAGGTACCATCTTCCTCAAGGAATTTATAAAGCATGATATAAGTTTTATTTGGTTGCTCAATTTGCCTATTATGATAAAAACTTTAAAATCTGAGACCTTTTGTCATAACATGTCCTTACACTTAGTGTGTTATTACCAATGGGATATATGTTTAGATGTTCAAATTATTGACCACTTCACAATTATCCCATTTGGTAATAACACATTATGTGAGTGTGAATGTGATTTGATAAGGTCAATGATGAATGATGGGAGTATGATGTTAGGAGGCATATTGTTTTTGTCATATAACATGTATTGTGTTTTGGTTTCTTGTTTGGTTAGATGAGATTGCTTGTGTGGCCTTTGTGTGAGCTTGTATTCCACAATATAAGTCTTTGATGATATGCACTAAATGGCCTGAGACCTTGTGTATGTTGTAATTTAACTTATGATACTTATGGTGTTCAACAGGTGGGGTGTGTAAGTAGTTTAAACAATGGTATTTACCTATTTATACACTCCGTCTGCTGAAACAACATAAGGTGTTGGTTTTACTTGACAATGATGAGTCTTTTTTGTTGAGATGCCCAACTTTAAATGCCCTATCATTCTGCTGTCCTTAGAGAATAACTCAGACTACTCTTCAATTATTTTCTTTGCTGACTATGGATTGTGTGTGGATGTTTGGTTGGTGTGTCAATGATGCTTGGGGACAATCTGAGTTAACAATAAAAGAGTGCAATGACATTTTTAGAGCACTTTGTTTTCCAAAATAAAATGCATGTTTCATTCCATAATAAAGGATTTGATTACATATTTATATTCACCTAATGTCTTAAGCAAAAGATAAGAACAAAAAATAAAAATAAACATGCTAAATTTTTTTACACTTGACCCCTATTCACTACTCTGCATTGGCATTTGAAGTAGATGTCTCATGATCATTGGCCATAACAGGCCTATATGCCTCTATGTTTGGTCTTTGTTGTGTGTTGTGCTCTTCAATTGCTTGTGTGTTGTCAATGTTGACCTCTTCAGTGTCTTGCTCATCATCTGAGTCTGGCTTGTCCATGTACACACTATCCCATGCATCAATCACAGCCCACATAGGAGCTTGTATAGGATCTTGTAGCCCTCCCTCTCTTTCCAGCTTATCTTTGTTAACATGTGGAGGTTCAAATCTGTTAGAACCTTTACTTTTCAGAATTTGGTTCATTGTGTGGCACAAAGTTACCCACACCTTGAACAGCCTATTAGGAGGTAGCTCACTAAATGCATCTTCAACAGCCTTTATCGACTGGTCTGGTGTCTTAGCCATTTTCTTGTGTTGAAGTGATTGGATGCTTCTGAAAAAGCCCAAATCTAGAACATTCATGTCTGGTCTGTTTGCTGGTTGCTGAGTTAATATAAAAGTGAACCCTGGCTGTTCACAATGTTCTTGCCAAACTGCATCATCTTGAGTAATATGTGCCTTTGCATTATCTTGCTGAATGTAGATTGTGTTGTGTTGACCTGTGTGAGGCCATTTTTCCATAATTGCTGGAATGACTTTTTCAATCAACATCCACCTTGAGACATCCCTGTTGATTGGATCAATTACCTTTGTGACCATTTCTCCCTTTTTCCTGTATTTTGAGGACCTAAGTGCTGGCTCCTTTTTTGCAAATGGAAAAATGCCTATTTTCCCATCAAAAATTACTTCTTTTTCTGCATTGTACCAAGGTTTTGCAACTGCTCCTTGGAACATGAATTTTGGAATGAACTTGGTTGATTGCATTACTCTATGTGGACCTTTTTCTCCTTTTTCTAAATATGACCTATGTGTTTTTCTAGTCAGTGTAAACCATTTTTCATCAATATGTACTATATTGTACATTGACTGGTACACTCTTTTTGTGCCTGGTGAATCTCCTACAATGTTGTTGAGTATGAATCTCAGCCTATCTAATCTGTTTGCTGATGTAAGCTTTGGCTTTAATGCATTTGTGTGAGGTCTGACTTCCACTCTCTTAATCAGTCTCTGGATTGTGCTTTTACCAACATTTAGCATCACTACCAAGTCCCTTTGGCATGATCTGTTGCCCATTGCCACTGCCCTTATGGCATCATTTGGAATAGTTATTCTCTTTCTTCCACAATTGTGGAAGCCTGTTGACATGTTGTACTGTAACTGTGCATCCCTTTGTTCCTTCCCCTTTTTCCATATTCTGAGAATAGTTCTTGAGCACAGATTGAAATGATTGGCTGCCTGTTGAATGGATCCATATTTCAGGTTTCCATTTGTTGACCTTGTTAATAGCCATATCAAAATGTCTAACTTGGCCCCATTACTGAGCCTCCTCCTTGTTGGCTGATGATGACCTTCAGAGTTTTCTGGGTTGATTGGTGTTTGCTGATTGTTGTTGTTGCTTGTTGTGTCTTGGTGATCTGATGTTGTTTGATGATTGCTGTTGGTACCTGCTGTCTCTATATGGTTGGTTGCTGGTTCAGATGCATCTGTTGCATCAGGGGAAGGATTTTGGTTTAAGTCAAACCCAATGTTGTCATGGTTATTTTCTGAGTCAATCCCATCATCGTAGGCAAAGTTGAGATCATACTGAAACATTTCAGCATCATTAGCAGCAGCATCTTCATCCATGTCATCATTCAAATTGAAGTCTGAAGCCATTTGGAGTTGGAGACAATGATGTGATTTGGGTGTCTTTGAATGTGTTTTTTTTTTAAGTGTCAATTTTCTGTTCTTGAATTGTTCTCTGTAAAATTCCCTCTCAACTGATTTGAAAATTTGAGAAGGAGTGGTTTTTATAAGGATTTTTTGTTTTAACATTAGTCATGAATCCGTGTACTTTCATTCTATTGGATGATGTAATTTTTTAGCTAATTTGATTGGTTAAAAATCAATCACATGGATTACAAATGCATTGCTTTATTTTCATTGGCTGTGTAATAAAGACAAAAAAAACCCAAAGGTTTCTCTTTGTAATCCGCCCCTTTTTAATGACAACAACTTTCTCTCTCTACCTTTTGTTTTGCAAATGATTGGGTTTTAGTTCCCAAATACTTCATTTATTTCTCCTTAATTCCCGTGATTTTCACCCAAAAGTGACTATCATTCGGGGACGGAGGGAGTATGTATTACTTCCTCTATTCTTTTTTACTTGACCTGTTTCTTTTATCATGTTGCCAATGCACAAGTTTAACCATCAATAATTTTAATACACTATAAGTAAAAATTATAAAAGTTATATATTGTGATAGTACTTATTTAGACGATTCTAATAAGATCCTACATGAATATGTTTTTCTTTACCTATAATTCACAAAAGACGGTCAAAGGTGGGTTGGTGAATAGTGAAAAAGTCAAAGCGGGTCAAGTAAAAAAGAACGGAGGAAGTACTAGTTTAGATTTCGTGTCATGCACGGTAATTTTTAATAACTATATTTAAAATTTACATTATATACTTTCGTGTGTTACATACATTTATATCAATTGAATCCTAAAAAACAACAAAAATAGCAAGAAAAAATCACACTACTAATTAGCGACATGTGTCATCTTTAGCAAGTATTATTGAAGTTTTCATGGAGTGTTAATTGACTGAAATTCTAATCAAGGAAATAACAAAAGTATCATTTGTTGATTTGATATTCGTATTTCATTGTTTAAGCTTGTAACTTCTATTACGTAATTTTAAAAAAAATCAAGAAAAAAAATTATATAATCTTATTGTAATAAACGTATGTTGTACATAATTTATATCTTTCTTAAAAAAATAGTCCATAACAAATGATGTTAAAAATATTATTTTCATATTTTTTTACTTAAGTTTATAGTTGTCAATATATTTATTTTGGAAAGATATATACTTTGTATTTAATTATTACCTTATAAATATATGTAAAAAAAAATTATGTATGAAATTGAATTTTTTTCCAAAAAAAAAAAAAAAAAAAAAACTGAGGACACACCAGGAGATGACACGTGTCATAGCGGGTGTGTCTTTTAGTATAGAGTTATTGATCTAATTCTTCTCTCCGTTTTTTTTAATAAATCACTTTGATTTTTACACTATTCATATGCAGTTTAAAAAAATAATCTAAAAAAATATTAATAATTTAATTACTTGCATTGTTTAATGTTTAGTACTTTCTCCTTTCCTCTTATATTACAACAAGGGATGTAAGCATGAATTATAACATGAATTACAACAAGAGAAATAAAAACATAAATCCATGTGATAAAGAGAATGAAAAAGGCATATACAAATTAAAATAAAAATTATTGAAATATTTGTAGAATTCTCTACAATAAGGGCATGTTTTCTGCGGATTATTTTCAATTCAATTCATTTCAGTTCAGTTCCAATAAGTTCAGTTCAGTTCAATTCAATTCAGTTCTTAATTTCCTTCTCTCATAAATATTCAGTTCAATCCAGTTCAGCTCCAATAAGTTCAGTTCAGTTCAGTTTAGTCAATCAGAACATACCCTAATTATTGTTACAATATTTATGGATAGGAGTCATTGGCGGATCTTGGCCAAAAATATTAGAGGGGTCGGGATTTGAATCTCTTTTACCTCTAACTTAAAACTAATCACCATGTCCTAATATTTTAAAAGTGAAATTAGTTCTTTAAGGGTCTGTTCTCATAGACTGAACTGAGCTGAATTGAAATGAATATTTTATAAGAGAAGGAAATTAGGAGCTAAACTGAACTGGACTGAACTGAACTAAATTGAATTGTCTAAGCTGAACTGAATTGAAATGAATATTTTATAAGAGAAGGAAATTAGGAGCTGAACTGAACTGAAAATAAACGTATGAGAACAATGCCCTTAAGTTCATAAACTTATTAATCTACCGGGGGTTAGGCCCTAAATGGCCATGATAGGAGAAAATATCACTTAGACATTGATATGAGAGAAGGCATAAGTGTGTTTACCTTTCTTTTTTTTAACTCTTTGTTAAATGAAATGTTAGGAGGTAGTTACGTTTAAAATTAAAAAAAAAATGGATGAAGTGAGTATAAAGTTGGACATAGGTCAGGTTATGCATCCTACTGTCATGTCAATCAGCATGTCTCATACTTCAGTAGGTTGAGTTTAAAATGAGTTAAGATAATTCGATCATGTCGTACCTGTTGAATTCATGCCAATCATTAAAAAAGAAGAGAAAGAGCTATGTATGTACAGCTTGACCATATATCATTGTGTCGTTCCAACGGTTCTTAAAGTAATTTTTACTATACCATTGGTAATAAATTAATTACCAATAAGTTTATCGACATACAAGTCAACCCACCATGTTCGTGTCAAAATCGTGCCAATTTTTAAAAATAATGTTCATGCATTGCCTAATGTACCCACTTTTGTGACTCTCATGCCCTAGCCCCTAGTTGATTAGATTTTCTTTGTTGTTGTTGTGCTTGATTGGTCCTCCACCTCCTTGTGCTTATCCGATCCATGCCCAACTCAAAATATTTGTAATGTATACTCAAAACATGAGTAATAGAGTAATTTCGTATTACAAAGTTAAAAAAAAAAAAAAAAAAAAAAAAAAAAAAAAAAAAAAAAAAAAAAAAAAACTGACATTAGAAAAATTGTGATTATGGTATGGAGTACGTAAGGTTGACGAGTTGCAATTAGATAAAGGGAGTCAGAAAAAAAGAGTAAAGACAAAAATAAAGCAGCTTGGAAATTGGTCTGGATTTTGCCTAAGATAGCGGGGGACTTCTTTCTCAGTTCCAGTCAGAGCTAGGTTCTACTTGTGTCAAATTAAGTTTCACTTTTTATCACTCTACTTCACAACCTTTTCTTCCAATTTATTTTTAACCATAAAAGGAAATTGATTAAGATATGACTCTTGTTAATAAAAATTACTCTTTCTATATCAAAAAATTTTCCTAAGAAATTACTCTCACTTGTGATTTTTGACACTAAGGTCTTGTTCACTTCACCTTATTTTTGATGAACTGAAATTATTTTTACTGAACTTAAATTATTTTTACCGAACTTAAATTATTTTTACTGAACTAAAACTAATTTTACCGAACTAAAATTATTTTGCTGAATTGAAATTATTTTTTACTGATTTTTATTATAATTTTTCTTTAAGAAAAATGAATTTTACTGAACTGAACTTATTTTTACTGAACTAAAATTATTTTTACTTAATATTATTATTTTTAAAGTGAAGTATACAGGGCGTAATATGGAGCTTATTTTAAATTTTCTCAAGTTTGAGAAGTTGAAAGGATAGCATACATTAAAGTTCGAACAACTATCATTTACATGAATTTATTTAAACTTGTTTGATTAATTTGTACGAGTCTTATTTTAGTTACTCTGTATAATTTAAAATTGACCAGAATAGCCCTAAAAAAACCTTTATACACTCCTTTTGTGTTTTTTAAGTGTTATAGTTTGACCGAACATAAATGTCGAAACACAAGTTTAACTATTAATTTATCTAATTATATGTTAGTAAAATAATAAGGAAATATCCCATTATGAAAGTATATATTATGATGAATCCAACAATATTAAATATATTGTACCATAACATTTGTTTTATCAAATTAATAAAATAATTAAGTCAAAATCATAATGTGAATAGTAAAAAAGTCATTACTTTGTATAACACTTATTAAAACACGGAGTAATTTTTTCAAAACTTATCTAATTTGAAGTTTTGAACTATATTTTCATACTACCAAGGTCAGGTTAGTGTATATAGGGGTGAGCATGGGACGGGAACCCGTACCGTTAGTACTAACGGTTCGGATACCCGATAACCAAAATTACTAAAAGTGATACCCATAACTGGAACCGATAAGTTCGGGTACCCGGATTTCGGGTACCCGGATTTTTGGATCGGTTATCGGGTACCTAATAAGATATCCAATAATGATAATTAAACTTATTATGTAGTTATTATGATATAATTTACAACTAATTAAAAACAATACCATATAATCTTGACCAAATTATTAATAATATTACTAATCCTTGATATTATAAAGTGATTATGAAGTAAAGTAAAAGTTTAGATTTATATTAATAGATTTAAGTAGGGAAAAAAAGCAAAAAAAATGCTTATCAGATCGGATCGGGTAACCGTTAATTTTAAAATGATACCCATAACCATACCCGATAACAAATTATCGGAACGGGTACCCGAACCGTTATGGTTATCGGGATTGGGTACCCTAATTTTCGGATCGGTTTTTTCGGATTTTCGGATTTTCGGGTAGTTTTGCTCAGCCCTAAGTGTATGTATGTACTATGTAGTACCATAGTGTTAAGGTTTTAAAACATTTAATTTGTTTAATCACTACTTGAAATCAATAATTAAAATCATAAGCATAATACACAAACCCATCAATCTTCTAATAATAAATGTGATTAATGAACACAAACCTACCCTGATGAAACTCATGAATTCAAAGGGTATTTATGAAGAAGGAGAAGAAGAGAGGAAACCTTAAAATACAAGCAATGGAGTAAAGATGACAGTAAAAACAAGCAGAGGGGAAAAAAAGGTGGGAAGTAAAAGGGGAAAATGAGGAATAATAAATCAGAAAGCTAAGAAGGAATTGAAGTTGATGAACACGCAATGCACAAATATCTAAGACTGAAAATTTAAGAGATGAATGACAGCAAGAGTGTGAGTTTGTAATAAGACGTAGAGTAGTACTTGTGTATATGTAGACTAGAGGCAAAAGGAACCAAGGATAATAGTGACAATGATAGTAGTAGTACTAGTCCATATACTCTATTAGCTCTAAGCTAGCTATCTAGCTTGAAAGAGGATCATTTAATCCACATCATACTTGCACTAACGTCATCCTTACTTTAAAAAAAAATAGAGCCTAAAGTTAAAGTAGTACAGAAAGAAAAGACCGAAAATTAAGTATAGAACGTTTGATGTTTACCTTAAATTTAAATGTTGTTTTTGTTATAGTCAAAATTTGATATCTAAACCATTCAAATAAGATCTTCACATTTGATCATGTATGGTTCTTGGTGCATATTTTAACTATTATTATCATTAATCGACAATTAGCTAATATTATGAAAGGTTGATGTATTAAAGTTGTATATTGATAAGATTGAAATAAGATTTATCATGACTATGATTTTATTTATGTTCAATGTTCATTTATTTCAGGTACATCAACAGGATACCTATTTATCCTATCAGTCCATGCATTGGAAATATCCTTGCTAACCTCCTTAGAAATACACTTCCAAACAGCACAATTACACTTAAACCCACTCCCAAAACACAATTGGAATACCATATCACCCTTCTTAACTCTCTTTTTAGCTTCAAGATAGCATAAAGAATACCATGTAGAAGAGGATGAAGTGTTCCCAAACCTATAAAGTGTCATCTTAGATGCCTCGACGTCCCTATCACTTAAACTCAACCTATCCTTGATTGCATCTATCACGGCCTTACCTCCGGCATGGATACAAAAATGATCAAAAGCCTTCTTAAAATTCGGGACATAAGGAGCTTGCTTCTTCTTCCATGGCCTAATCTTGTTCCGCACAAAATGGAAGGCAAATCGTATTTGTTCCGAGTAGGGTAACACTAGAGGTCCTAGGGTAGTCAAGTTGGTTTTCAACGCTTCCCCTGCAACATGGACCACCGTTCTAGAGAGGGACACCCCTACCTTACCCTCATCATCGGCTTTTTGGAATACACACCTACAACAATAGCAAAGTAAATTCAATCACTTTATGGATAAAATCTAGCGAAAATAAAAAGTAAGGTTAAATGCCTAATCTCCGATTGCTCGTTTTAAAGAGCCATCAGTAGGGATTATATCCATTCCTACTGATGAATAAGTCTCATTCCCCATTCCTGACCTTGTGATCACTTTCTTTTCGAACTCGTTTACTTCTGATGTTCTGAACTCTTTCTCTCGCAGTGCTGAGTGTTCTATGAATGCACCTATGGAAACACGGTGGAACTCGGGTGGTTGAAAACACGCAAAATCGTCAAGGTAGATGTTGGCACGCCTCCGAGTTATGTGGATATAGGCAAGGATCAATATAAAGGCAATAATGAATTTGAATTGAGAAAATGAACTAAGGGCTTCAATGACGGAGTCATAGAATTTGAAGTAATCATGTTTGATTAGTGAATCTACCTCCATTTTTCTTGTAAATTTATGGTTTATTATGTTAGCATGAGTTTTAACTATTGATTTATATTAGTATGAAGAACTATTGCAAGCATTTACGGATCTGTTTAAGATGCATAACTGACGGACCAAATTAAGCAATCATGCAACTTACATTTTAAGGAAAAGAATTCGATGCGTATGTATTTGCAAGTCACATTTATAAATGTGACATGCTTGAAGTGTATAACACCAGTCCATTTAGGTTGTTTGTGTTATAATATAAGAAGTATTTTCAAGGCTATATTCTAAAATAAGAAGATCGAAAAAATGATCTCGTGACAATAAAAGAGTACGGTGTGTCGTGATGCAAATCACTGACTTGAAAACGAAATTCCGGCGCAACCGGGGTGCACTATTGTATTCGCCAGCACGTTCCCTAAGGTTAACACACCACTTCCACACAAAGGCACTTTTGGATGGAAGGTTGGAGCCAAGTAACTTATGCCCAATATAGAGTATGTGTTTAAGCAAGCTTGTGTTTGATATATATTTCTTGTGTATATAAAAATCAGAAAACATCCTCCAATTTATAGAGATGAATAAAGAAGATGAAAGATCATGGAGGAATCTTCTATGAACAAAGAAGAGAAAATCAGAAATATTATGGTCTTTAAAAACACCATTATCAACCTCTTAAATGGGGGGTTACAAGAAATCAAACAAGAAGAGGAATCCAAGGGAACCGTTGGAGTCCAACGGACAAACACGCGCCCGATCGGGCGGACACTCCCTTTTTTACTAGACGTCTTCTCGCGCCCGGTCGGGCGAGTCTCGCCCGATCGAGCGCCAGATCGGGCGCTCGATCGGACGAAGCTTGCCCGATCGGGCGGCGGAACTCCAGAATTTTAGGACTCTTCTCGCGCCCGATCGGGCGGGTCTCGCTCGGTCGGGCGCTCGATCGGGCGGCCATATCTGACCCTTTGAATTTCCTTTCTTTATTTCCAACAGTTTGAGAATTTGGGGACTTATATAGAGCGCAATGCATATTGGCCTAATTCAGGGTAGTGCATCGTCAATGTATATAGACAATGATATTCATAGACAATTGCAATGCAAATCAAAATTATGGAGAAAAACTTTGATCAATGCTTATTAAGTAACAACTTCTATAACATTAAAATTGAGTACTAATTTTGTCAGGGTGAGTTAATTAAGCGAGAGATTGTACTTTGAAAGAGCCATTGCGCCAAGATCCTATATGCTTTCTGAGTCAGATTAAATCCGTCCCAAATGACATAACCATCAGGGTTAGCACAAACTGGAACTCCTCGAGCTCCACACGTTCTAGTCGGATTAAAACTAAATCGCCCTCCTGCTCCACAACAAGCTTTCCGAAGATCAGATGTGCCATTGAATCCTGAAGGAGATCAAGAAGGAAATTTGTTTCAATTATATTGCGAAAAACAGAATGTGCAAGCCTTTCAAATATACAGAAACTCTGCAGCACTTACCAACATGAGGAGCATTCAGCAAAAGTCGATTAAAAGCATTGTAATAATCACCATATATGATGGTAATATTCTTATAATCTTGCTTCAGCAGTTGAAGTCTCTTTTGTAGCTCATCGTTGTGATAGAGTGAAAAGTTGTTTAACAGACGCTGTTTTCTGTATGCTGCAGAGTTCTTGGCTTGACATGCTGTGATATATGCAGGGAAATGGCCTAAAGAAAAGGTCCCCGGGACAATTATCTTGATAGCACCACTTTCGATGACCCTCTAAACAACATGATACTAAATTAATCCTTTGAAAGCAAAATGCCAGGATTAGTGCTCAGTGTTTGGAGAATGAACTTACTATGACGCCTTCAATAATCGCTTGGACAACATCAAAAACCATGGTATTGACATCCTTCATCGTTTTCCCCTGTGACAAAGCATAGTAATAGTCATTGCTTCCTATTTCCCCAACTATTAAATAGGGAATTCTTGAGTTTTTCTGCACAATCTGTTCAACCATTTCAATTAGATCAAAATCAATGCCAAGTAGTAGGACATGGTTACCTTAAGAAAAAACTTTGCATGTTTTAGGAAATTTATAAGTTCAATAAGTTTAGATAAGTGTCAATCAGTTCAGATAAGTTTGTACATGAGTTACCATGTTCAATTCGTTCTTAAAAAAAGTTCAGACAACGGTTTTTAAGGTGAAAAGAATGAAAGCTAATTGTATATTAAGGCAGAATAGGTGAATTTGGAACGCAAATGACAGTGTATACCTTGGTCATTATAGCAAATGGAATTGAAGTGTGACCACATCCAATCAAGCTGTACACTGAGAGAACTATTTGTGACAGGATTTACTATGTTTTTCTCTGCAAGAGACTGCATTGGCAATGCTGTGGCACCAGCAACCGCAAAGTTTACTCCATGAGTGAAATCAGCATCCCTGTTTAAGTATGGATTCAAGCGCGGAATATCCAACGCCTTTGCTGATCATAATCACCAAAAGAAGTGGGAAATTAAAAAATTAAAATATAAAACAAAAAAAATTATCAGTTGTACATTACATTCAAAAGTAAAGTTGTTATGTAAATTATCTTGATAGAACATGATGTAAAAGTTGAATTGATCAAATTTTTCCATATTATCGTATTGAATCTTTGTTGAAAATGAGAGACTTCAGGAAAATACTTAAGTCATGACTCTTTCCTTTAGGAAAAGGAAATCCTCATTGAGAATTACAGTTAAGCACAAACAAAAACCAATCACATGTGACTGCATAACCTTAAATATCTACACAATTCTGAATTTCTGATTATGTCAAGGGGGAAAAAAATAATATTACTAGTGATAAACTTAATAAATTTTACAAAGTAAGAATGTTACGACACATTCGAAACAGAAGCACATGCTTTTCGCTGCCCCAAAATGAAGTTTCACCACTCAAACGACGAATCAATGAAAGAAATTAAGAGACTGAAGATGCATAACAGCATTAATGAAATCTAGAAAACAATCAAGAATTGTCAAAAACTTACCCAAGAAATCGATCATTAGTAGCCCGTTTGAGCATCTACCAGTGGGATGCTTAAAGAAGGATTCACCATAAGGAAGCTGAGCAAAGGCTGAGGCAACTCCATTAGGACTTTCAATGATTAAGTTTCCGGTATCAGATAAGGAGTCACCAAGCTGATAAATCGATGTGAGTTTGCTACTTCCTGTCCTGGCTGCAGGAAGATGTCCAATACCTCTAGCAGGACATAGCAGAAGGAAGAGAAAGCTCAAATATAATAAACACATTGTAAGAAATAATTTGAGATTCATAAGAAAATAGTAACCCACTAACACTCATACTCTGATAGCCTTGTAATTTCTGGTAAAGATATTAATAACAAAGAAAAGAGAAGGAAAAGAACAGAAAAGTAACTGAATTTATGTACAGAAGATGGTAATTCCAGTTAGATCACATTACTAGTGGGTTAAAAAAAGGAGTTATAATTATTCCCACAAAATGTTATACTTTTCTGTAACACACTTTTGGTAGAAATTATGCTTAGATTAATCTATTATGATAATAAATTACTTATATAGTCCTATTAATCTAAACTTATTGTTGCACATAATGTAAGATCTGATTCAGACTAATATTGATCTATTAGTAATATGGTTGTAGCAGAAGAGATTTAGAAAGGAATAACTGCGGTCAAAATTTGCAGAGATCTCATGCACAGGCAAGCAGCTTTAGCAATTCAGATCACATGATAAGTTGCTTTTTCCTCTTTTTTTTCCTGAACTCAAGTGTGATATTGAAGGTGTTTCAATAATGACTAGATAAATTAAGAGTATAGAGGTGTAGAACATAAGTATTTGTTATGGGCGACTGGTCGTGTCAGTTCCTACTTTTAATTGATAGTCTTGACTGTGCCAACCCACAGCCTACCGGCACACCGTGCACACAAGGCCTTGTGCAGGCCATGTCACCCCCGGTCCAGGCATCTTGCCATGCCTAGTACTCACGACTTCACGAGACCTCACCCCCAGGTCCTGCCATGCCTAGTAATCACGAGGCCTCGTGCCAGGCCATGTCACCCCTAGGCCCGTCTTGATTAGTAATCACCCTCTCTTCTGAAACCAAATTACATGGCTCAACAATTTGAGACTGGTTCGTTGATAGCAGCCAATGAATCTGCAAGGGCTAAGAAAGATGGACAGAAAAAGCAGAAGAAGCAATGGGTTCCAAAGCAAATTCAACCTAGTTCTTCCCTTTCTACTGCTGCACGTTAATTATAACTTGCCACTTCCCTCAATGACAATCACCATCCTACCATGAGTGCCATCCCTCATTCTTTTTCATTATTGTTCAGTGACGAAAAGACAACCACAGGGGATGTCTATACGCCCCAAAAGACAATGCAAAAAAGAGCCTCAAACAGATGAGCAAAGGCAGTGTATCCAACAGGCATGTTGGTTAAAATGCAGCTGTGGATACACAGCAGTGAGAACACGCAAAGCACATTCATAATCAGGAGTCCAGAAAAGCAGCCTAGAAAATTCAACTTTCACCAAAATTAGATTATTATTATTATCATTATCAATTGTATGTTACAGAGCTTGGCTACTAAATTCCAGAATTGTATATACTCTGCAAAAGTATAGCTTGGGAGAAGAAAGAAAATAACAACAAAAACATCCTACAAGTACACAAAGGGCAGAAATCAGCGCCCCATATGTACAATTCTTGGAAAATTTTTGATTTGTTTGAAGGTCACTTGAGATAAACTCCACTTAATTCTTGTGTGAATTATCTAAAGGAACAAGATTCCCGTACCGAGCTTCCCTATTATCCTGTGAGTTTTTATGCTCATAATATTCAACTACTGCAGCTCCAGCTAAGGCAGCCAATGTAAAGGCCTGAGCATGCAACCTGCATTAGAGCATTGACATAGTCAGCAAGTATAAAAAAAAATAATAAATAAATAAATAAAACAAAATAAAACATGAAGCAAAGGTAGAAAATATATATATACATGGATACTTATATATCTTAATTTTCATCT